AATAATATAGGACAATAATTCATGGAATATATTTTTCGTTACAAGAGTCAATGCAAATTTGCGGCATACACAATGTAATAATAAAAGTAATAATAAAGTAATAATAAAAGTTCTTTCTGCGAGCTTTGAATCAGACACTCACCAATGATGATATTGATGATGTCCTGTTGCATCCAACCAGATCCACCAATGTCCGCCCATGTCCGCTGCCGCTCTCCATGTCGTGCAGCATTCATCTTGCAGCGCGTCCCAGGTTGATTGCTATACTTTCGCCACATTTTCACAACGCGGTCGATACTTGTATGAGAGCAGCGATATTTGCGTCAATTAACGAATGTTTTACGTCGACATCGGTGGAAAGTTTTTACGTGTTGCGAAACGGACTTTGTAAACTCGATCGGCGCAGAGCAAGAACTGTGTGAAAATTTATCGACTCGTCCAACGGATTTTTACGATGCTTTTCCGCGATCGCGACTGAAAAGTCGCGAAAATGCGGGAGTATCGATATCTACGAGAATATTCGCGAATGCATGCGAGGAAAAATTAGACAATCAGAAACCGGTCACTTCGAGGGAGCGTAAAGAGAGAGAGAGAGCAGGGCAAAGTTTTCATGCATGATAGTTCCGTCACGACGAAGCTTACGTTCGCGATACTTTGGCGAAATGAGAGTTTAAGCTTCCTTTGTTAGCAGCGTGGATAAAAACGCGTATATTGGTAACCGCGGTCGCGATATTCAAAGGCACGCGAGCGAGGGCACCTCAAGCTCGGCGTGCGTTGGCGCAATTTCTGCGCATATTATACGCTACTCGAGACAATAGGGATCGTGATGAATGGACAATATTGCCAAATAATTTTACAGCCTGTTTTGGAAATAAAAGAAAAGTAGCCAACAGTATCGACATTTATACGTATGAATATATTTTACGGACAATTGAATATTGTCAAATAATTGTTAAATAATTCTGCGGCCCGCTTGAAAAATGAAAATAAAGCAGCTGATAACGGTATCGCGTTTGTAGACATGAATATCTCTTATTCAAATGAACATCAAAAGAGAATCATTCGCTATTTTAAATCTCGTATGTAATGCAGGCTATCGACCAAGTAATCCTCTGATTGTTTCGAGCAATGTATTTTATTCAACGTCACAAACACACACATGCAAAATCTATTTGCAATTCGCATTGACTCGAACGATATTTTATCTCCTATAGTCCCACATCCGTCATGCGGAATTTTGTTTATCTTTTCATTTTGCATTTACTCACCAAAACGACTTGCAGTCAGAGCCGGCCACGTTCCGCTTCAACTCTGTAACAAAAATTCACATTCGCTTATCAGATTTGACCAACGAGTGCGGGCGAGTAAAAGAGTAGTTTACCCTCTGCGATCGTAATTCAAGTCGAAATTATATCCCAGCTCTAGATCGCCAGGGGTCAAACAGAGAACTATAGTAAACTTGTAAACTTACCTTCAAGCCGACTCTGCTTGGCCAGAACCGGATCCTCCGGTACGGCATCCGCATCTGCCGGATTGTTGTTGCTTTCCGCAATAACTGAAACAGAAAAATAATTTTCCCGGTTGATAACCTGCGGTAGAGAGAAATTATCTTTGATCGGGACAAATCGAAGATACGGAAATATTTTGATATGGAATTTTTATCTTTATATTTTGGTTCCAACATTGAAAATTTAAATGGGACTTGAAGCTTTCAAGAGAGCTGATGAGGAACAAGTTACAAAAGCAAAGATCGTAAAGGGTTGAACACAGATGTGTAGGAAACTTGTAAACTTTACCTTCCGGCCGACCCTGGTCTGTCTGAACCGGATCTTCCGGTGCAGCATCCGCGTCCGCCGGGCTTGCTTCCTGCAACGTCTGGAACAAAAATGTAGCGTTCTTGGTTGGTAAGCTGCGGTAGAGAAAGAATGTTTGGTCGAAATGAGTAGAGAATATTCGCTACGATTTTTTTTCTTCATTGACATTGAAAGTCTAAATAGAAGTTCTTGAAACGATTTTTTTTCTTCATTGACATTGAAAGTTTAAATAGAAGTTCTTGAAAGCGCTGACGAAAAAAAATGACAACAAGAAGCGGAGACAACAGTTGTGTGCTCTCGAAAATATTCTTTTACAAATGGACATTTAAATTCAGATTCCGTAACGAGAGTAAACAGACTTGAAAGAAGCGCTGACCGAAAACAATAAAGGTCGCAGTCTAAGGAGAAGGTATGACGTTAATATTCTACACAAAACCGGTATACTCATATAATTGGGTATTATTCAGAATGTTTGATTGAGAACATGATGAATTAGAGATCCACGTCCATGGACTGTTATCCGTCTCTGTCTGGATCAATATCTTTTGTATACAACAACGCAATAAATAGATAGACAGACAGAGATTGACGAGAGTAATTGCAAATTCATAAAGTGATGATTCCTAGTCGGATGATGACGGATCGTGAATGCTGAGCGCGAAATTTCGATTTCTTATTTCTGGAAAATTCGTCAAACGTCCGCTCTCGTTATCGGAGACCTCCCGCATAATAAATGATTCCACATACCTGGAAACGTGACGTATTGCTTCCCGGCGTCCTGCTTCCTGGCTGCAAAAATCCTTCGGATTTCACTCGCTCACGCTTCTAATGTCGATACTCGCGATTCGACCGTGCGGTTAATGAACGTGATGTCAACGCGATGTCGATTGAGTATCTCGAGGACCGACGAGATACATTTCTTTTAATTACACGAGACGGAAGTGACGAGCGTGTCGCGCACGGCTGCTATTGATGGAATGAGGTCGAATACACGAAGTGCGCGAGTATTATAATACGAAGAGCAAAAAGTGTCGTCGCTCGCGAGCCGATCAACACGATCGGCGCGATGTAAACATTGCGGGCCTCGGCGGCGGTTGAAGCAAGAGGGACTTGCCCTTGGGTGTCTCTTCTTTTCTCGAAGGTTCCGGAACGACGAGGGGAACTTTCCGACGAGGTCTTTCAACTGTACGCAACATTGATGCACTCTATTTATTGATTACTGACAATAAAGAAAATTACTCTGTCGAAGCACCGAACATTTGTTAGCTTTATGTTAATTAAAGAGGAATGTGTTAGATTAGAAAATGTGTTAACAACTAATTGTACAGAGTGTCAAAGTTGTTGTGATGCTGTTTTCGGGGAATAATTAAAGGTCATGGTAGCGTTAAAGAGTGGAATTTCATCCCATGCGAATTTTATCTCATTCTTATTAAATGTTAGTCCTGTATAAAATGTCGTATTTAAAAGTATTGTTTCGCATTCACGAGATTTGGTCATGAATTCTGTTTTGCGGGAATCTCAGATTGGATCGCGGGCCAATACTTTTCAATGCTATGGGGAATAGAACGTGAAAATCTTGTATGCCTCTGAATCCAAAAACAATCAGGAGAAGAAGTGAATACTTTTCAATACGAAAGTTCGCATTTGAAAATTATCGATTGCGATTGAATACAAGGAATGTTTGAAATGAATTGAATCCTTACTAATGCGAAGCATTCACCACTGCCATCTCGCATTTAGCGCGGTGAAATTTAATGGGAACTAATACTTTTTAGTCCCTTTCTTCGGGTCAGAAAGCAGAATTCAGACGTATTCAAAATGTCAATACTTTTTAATATGTTTCAGTTCGACATTTTATACAGGGAGATTATCCGCTGCGGACAATAACTCTTCTACTTTTCATCTAATATTCAATGATGATAAATAACATTTAATTAAATTGCATTCGTTTGGCTTTTATTATTTCGAAAATAAAGAAATATATACCAGGGTGGGATTTTACCCATGACAACATCAATGTGATTTTCTTCGATACTTTTTTTGAAAGCTCAAATATTTCGTCGACTCGCGGGATATTTATAATCGGAGTCTCGTCGCGTTAATTAACATATGCTCCTCCGAGCGGATCGAATGCTCACCGACGGCCACTGTCAGTGCCACGAGCGAATGTCCGGAGCGGACGGGATGCTGAATTGAGAAACAGGACGAAGGGAACGGGACGCGGGCAACGATACATCATGCGTCTCCAGACATGTCAAATTGTTTATTATAGAAGAGACTTTGATACGGTAACATGTATTCGAAGATTTAACATTTAATACGTACTTTTATTTTTTCTGCTCCTCTCCCCTCCCACCCATTCTTTTTAGACCATCGGGCATAGTCTGGCATAGAGATGGCAACTGTGGTTGCAGCACGGACATAAACCGCCTGAAAATGGATGTAGCACGGACTTCCACCACATGTAGATTTTACCACCGAGACCTGAAAGTGGATGTACCATCGTAGTTCCCCTCTCAAAATTGATGCAAATGGTGTCCTTTCCCAGTGCAGAAAGTCGATGTCACAGAACATGTCGTGTTAGCCGCTCTCAGGTTTCTTTCTGGTGCAACTGTGGTTATAGCACGGGCATAAACCGCCTGAAAATGCATGTAACACGGACTTTCACCACATGCAAATTTTACCACTGAGACCTGATAGTGGATGTACCATCGTAGTTCCCTTCACTAAATGGATGCAGATGGCGCCCTTTCCGGAAGTGCGGAAAGTCGGTGCAGAAAATTTCGTGTTGGCCATTCTCAGGTTTCTTTCTGATATTATCTCGTCGATGCCAGAGAGTGGCGTCGGAGCAGTGGCTTACACACCCAGAGCCATCTATTGAATTGAATTGAATTGACCTCGTCGATGTCATCGCTTTTCCTACGGGCCCCTTGGGGCTTCCTTGGCCACACGAAAATTTACCCAGGGCTGACAGTCTTCATATTATTTTGTCAGTCAAGACACTTCTACTGCCAGGATCTCTCGATACTTGTCCGAAGTTCGGGGAATCTCTGCTTCTAATTGGTGAATGTAGGTGAAAGTTTATATAAGTTATTCGACAATTTGATCATCGTGGCGCGAAATCGACAATCGAATAGATGACGAATAGATGAACGACGATAACTCGAAGTCGAAGCGCGAGACGGTCGATTCTTTCGCCACTACACCCGCGCTCCCCGCTCGCTCTCGCGCGCATGCAATCGATATCCTTATTCCTGTCAAATGGATAATCATGGCAGCGACGGCGATTGATACGATGTTGCAGAGCAATGGCTTTCAGGCGAAAAAGAAAGAGGATGTCGACAATAAGGACAATTTGTGGTACGTGCGCGAGTCATACGATATTAGCCGTGTATCAGAGTGCGTTGCAAGTCGGCTGTTTGTTTCGTACCATTCGTACTCTGTATGATTGACGCCGACTTCTTTCGCATGGGCATTTTGCGTGAGAAAAATTTCGCGTCCAATCGCTTTAACCGCCTCTTATCCCATGTTGTCGTATGCTTTGCAGGTCGTCTATTCTGGCGGAAGTGCAGAACAGCGGCAACAACAAGCTACCGTCGAATAAAAATGTCCTTGTACTAGGTAAACGCTCGATATTCTTCGCCCTAGAACCGATAGTCTATGCCGATATAGCTTGCATATTAAACACTCGTCGCTGCTTGATGCATGTGTCATCAACAGTGAAAAAGCGTCATGTCGCCATATATGTGCTACTTGGTCATTTGATATGAATCTATTTCTTTATCATTGTTCTTTCATATATCGTGGCATTTTGTTATGGCATACGGACAGGTTATATCAGTAAAATGTATTTTATCTGTGTATAAAGTCACACTGATATTTATATCTCTTATTACAAGTCATTTTAGTATGTAGTAGTCCAATCTAATGTAATTATAAAGATACTACTATCATAATAACAACATACTGTTACTATGATAATATGATCAGCTATTATCACAATATCATCATGCTAGTTAGTAATAATTGTTATATCTAAATACATGATAGTATAATTTTTAAGGTGACAATGAGAGTGGGAAGACAACACTTATAGCAAAATTGCAAGGTGTGGAAGATCCAAAGAAAGGATCTGGATTGGAGTTTGCCTATATTGATGTTAGAGATGATTATAGGGATGGTTTGTGCAAGATTAAGAAACTTTTCACTATCAATTGTTCTGGTATTTGAACAGATAGTATGGAATGTGGTTTATTACAGATCATACGAGGTTGTCAGTATGGGTTCTGGATGGAGACCCGGGTCATGCAAATCTTTTGAGATTTGCTCTGAACAAAGAGAGGTTTCCACATACACTTGTTATGTTAGTCGCTGCCATGACTACACCATGGGCTATTCTTGATCAGCTTCAATCATGGGCAGCATTATTAGGCGATCATATTGACAAATTACCTTTAGATAATGACACTAGGCAACGGTGCAGGCAGCTTAGTAAGTAGAATTGAACATGATAGATACATACTTCTCAGTAACTAACAAGACTGAAACTTTGATTATTTGAAATTGTGATAATTTGATGAAAAAGTCATTAATATATTTCATATATCTATTAGAATGTTACTATTGAAAATATTTTTTATCGCTTTGTTGTTGGACAGGTTGCTTTCATTCCTATCTTTTTAAATCTCGTGCATTTAGAAAACTAAAAATCATTCTGTATTTTATGCAATGTTACATGCAGTTTTGTTGCTTCAGATATTAAAAAATGGCAAGATTACACAGAACCAGGAGACGAACTTGATCCTGGAAGTCCTCTACGACGTACTAGTCGTAATCTAGATGACGATACCGCCGAGGGTTTACCTCTGCCGGAAGGAGTACTTATAACCAATCTGGGCCTAGACATCGTCGTGGTCATAACGAAAACCGATTACATGTCTACTCTCGAGAAGGAACAGGATTACAAGTGAGTAAAGGATTTACATTAAAAAAATTATTTATCTCCATTTAATTATTAATCTCCATTTTATTAATCTTTTTCACAATTTGACCTCCACTTTCTTTTCCAAACAGAGACGAACATTTTGACTTTATGCAGCAATGGATCAGGCGGTTTTGCTTGCAATATGGCGCTGGTCTCTTTTACACATCGGCGAAGGAGGATAAGAACTGTGATTTGCTTTATAAGTATCTTACGCATAGGATTTACTCTTTACCATTCAGGACACCAGCTTTGGTTGTTGAAAAGGATGCAGTACTTATGTAAGGGCGCCGTATTTTACAATCGACAAAAGATACTCATCTTTTTCTTCACATTATTACACCAACGCACATCGTTTGCAGACCCGCTGGTTGGGATAATATGAAGAAGATCAGCATTTTGCACGAAAACTTGCAGTCCATGAAGGCGAGTGATTATTATCGCGACGTCATCGCGCAACCAGCGACAAATCGAAAAGTATGCATACAATATATCGTACAAATATATTGCTTTATACCCGCAATAGATGCAGTGTCAACAGTGTCAACGGAAATGTTAGCTTTGTCCATTAATTACTGCTGTCGACGTAGTGTGTTGCCAGGGAAATGGAGATTCAGGCGGAGGAAGAGCAGGCCTTCCTCGCGAGGCAACAGGCTGCTCTGTCGGGCTTGAAGGATCCCACTCGTTCTCCGACCACTCGGAACCAGGCAAGCACCGGGCCGGTCATACAGGTTATACCATTTATATATGGAGCATGCTTTTCATGTTACGTGTGAATAATAGGGATGCGACGTTCCAAAGACAATAGCATTGCACAACTAATCTCTTCATCGCAGTCATAAGTACGAGTCCATTGATCTCATTGTACCATTTGCGAAATCCAAAACAACGGTTTTGTACTCTGATAATATCTGTTGTTCATTTTTTACACAGCTATTTCGTTTGACCATATAGACGGTCCATTCATCATTTGATGTTGAAAGTACTTTGTCCTTTGTGTATTACGAGCTTGCACTTTTTTTAGAAACGCCCATTCTCGCTTATGATGTATTCACGAGCCCGTTTAATGGAGCGCATTAACACAAAACGGCATCGTATTGTAATGTCCCGCTATATCCGATATCAAGCCACTCGTTTCATTTAATGTACAGCAATTTGATTTAATTTTTAAACAGAAAACGAGACGATATCAAAGTACATATATACACATATATATCGTAAATTTCTGGTAACCGCGTTGCGCAACGAGCACATCGTCTCGTTTAACAGTCCACGTAATGTAATTTCTACTCCACAGCAGTCATCCTCGTGTGGTTAATGCAGTTAACATTTGAAAGCATGTTCTAATCTATGTGGTATGATCTGTCCATTACACCATTCATTAAAGTCTCCTACAATAGCGGATAGGTATTAATGATCTTGCGAACAGGTGGCGTCACCGAACAAGAAGTTGGATCCCAAAGGCACTGGCGCCACGCCGTCTGGAGAGGGTGTCTTAGCTAATTTCTTTAATTCTCTTCTCTACAAGAAGAGCGGAGTTCCACCTGGCTCACCTGGCACGCCGGCTAGTGTAGGAGCGAGTCCCATAAAAATTGGTACGCGATACTCTTGTATACACTTATAAACGATATTCATTTCGCGATGAAACTATTAAGTAACAATTTTTTCTTCCGCTACAGACAGTACACCGGTGGACAAGGCCACAATGTGTAACGACGCAGTGGCGGAACTGGATCGTCTCACGCGGACCAAGAAGCTATCTCCACCCAATCTGAACTCATCGTCTGAATGTTAAAAGGTAGATCGCGACCCGTTGCTACGATAAAGGCGAGCAAAGACTCGTCGCCATCGGACCAGAATTCAAAATGCGAATGTGGAGCATGCTGTGAAACGGTAAGGCAGGTCGCGGAGGATTAAAAAATTTAGCCCTAATCAATGATAGTCTAACCTGATCAAACCGAATAAGCGAGGAAGATCCAAAATGAAGGGAAAAGGGAAAAAAAGAAAAATATATAAATACATATATATATATATATATATATATATATATATATATATATATATAGTCTGTCACCGTGCAACATACTCTGCAACAGCCTCGATTGTTGTGTTTGATTAAATATCATTAACGATGCAGAGAACAACTAGAAAGCTATTAAATTAATGTAATTAAATATTTAATATAATAATAAATCGAGATGCTTACGCACACATGTCCCAGCGCCTGGTCATAGTAAATTATTTAGCAATCGCCTGTGAGTGCCACGGGCCGAGTTTTTTTATCGTTATACCCACACATACACACACACATACACGCACGCACACACACACATACCCACGCGTATATACACATGAACACAAATGCACATTTTTATCTTCTTTTTTGAGAACTTTATTTTTTTTTTTTTCCACAAGGTAGGCTCCACGGCGAATCGCCACCGATATTCGGTCTAATCTTTTTACGAAGTGCCGTTAGCATTGCGAATATACGTGTCGTGCGAATGCGTGAGATAGCCTTTTATACGAAAATTGTGCATAAACTATTACACGAGAATCCTACATGGAAGACGGTAGCGTGGTCTTCGGATTTAGGGATAACTAATGGTACGAGAGAGACTGCAGCGAGAATAGATATTCATATCGCGCGTGTAAATTCGATACTTTATTCGTAGATTTCTAGCCGAATACGTTACTTGAGAAGGCAAATGAACATAGAAATCTGTAAATTCAATTATCATATAAATGTGGCTTTATGTATATGAGAATCGAATTCTCGAGGAAAATAAATAATTTTTCGTATATCTTTGGCGTATTTATATGCTTTTATCCCCGAACAACAGTCCATCGTATGTTTTACTGAACAATGGAGAGAGAGAATTTCGCGAGAGCGGCATTTATAGGGAGGGGACTTGATGCGACAAGTTTACAAAATTCGTTTATTGAATTATCGGGTAGCATACAGTAAAGGTAATATGTAATAATATAACTTTCGTTCTACGGGACAATAATTGTTGTCGCCTTGTTCATAGTATCATACGATATAATCTGCATCATACATGGAACGCGTTCACTCGAATAAAAAATTTAAAGAAAGGCAATAATGTGAAATCGATAGAAATATTATTAAAACAGGAATGATTTGCGAGTATGAATAATTTCGTTCAATGAATCAATCTTATTTTAATTTATTTATTTTAATGAATTTATTTAATGAATTTATTTCTCATATTTTTCATTTACGAGTTCTCATCTCGATATTGTCGTTATACATTTTGATACAAGCGATTTTTGAGTCTAAAGTAGTCGAAAGTTAATCGGACAGTATATGATTATTAAAATTAAACACGATTCCAAAAAATTATACAACTCAGATGGATTATATATATAATGTCAACCCTTATTCATACTCGGAAGTTATATATGTATATATATGCATATATATGTATATGTATATATACACGCACACACATTTACACACACACACACACACACATACACACACACACACACACACACACATATATATATATATATATATATATATATATATACATTAACGAAAGCATTATTACATGAAATATATACAACAAATGTGTAAAATTTATGTAGAGAGAGAAAAATTGGAATATCTTTACTACTTTATATAATCTGCATATAATAACAATAGAGTATATAACCGAATCGGTAGCGGTGTTACCGAAAACATTTTTTTGCCGACTACGCGATAACAAGTAACATCGTATTAATTAGCAGGTCCTAGTATCTAGCAAACAATATTTTCTTTCAACACTATAAAAGATAAAACTACACACAAATGCGATATTCACTTATTGGATTTTAATAATTATGAGAATTATTCTAGATAAATATGCATGTAGAGAGGGATGTTTACGTATATTAATATATATATATGGAAGAACTTCTTAATGTCTAACATGAATGACGCGATATAAATTTTTTCACTCCTTAATTACGCGAAAAGACAACGGTGCGCTCTTGTGAAAGATAAATAAAATCTTCGCAGGAGATTTAGATTTAAGTACGTTGTATTCGCGCGTTACGGTTGCATCATGCTTCAACAACGTGACGTATAATTTATCGTGTCAAACGTCTCTCTCTCTCTCTCTCTCTCTCTCTCTCTCTCGCTATTTTGTTATAAATGCAAATATTAAATAATCATTGTGCGCACTTCGCGTTTGACGTAGCTAATCGCCATTCACTCTATCAGTTTTTCAGCCATCGTACATTTTTACGGACCATTGCAGCTCGAAGATTATCGATTCCATGATTAATATTTATAAATATTTTTTATATCTTTAACGCTTATAAGGCGCTTTGCGCAAATCGACTCGTCAGAATGTCGTTGTTAGAAATAAATGTGATACAAAGAAACCACGGCTTTCCCTTTCCTCTCGTAATCACGAAATGTATCGTGGTGGGTTTAATTCGCCCTCTCATAATTACCGACGAAAAAATTCAGCGTGCGCAACCGCGACTCGGCGATCTTTTATTTTTAGTAGAGCAGAATGCGCTTGTCGACCGCTTTGCGACATATCGGACACTCCGACATCCGGTCGCCACACATTTGGCAGGTACCGTGTCCGCACAGGAAGATCATGTTTTTCAGACGATCCAAGCAAACCGGACACATAGTCTGCAACAATAAAAAGAATCAAGCTCAACGATCATTCCTCGTGGTACGTTTCTGTCAGACCATCGACCGTCACGTGCGAAGCATTTTCCGATCTTTTGTATTATACTCTCGACTCATCGACTAACTCGAAGTCGATTTTAATGAAAATTTAACTTGAGATTACGGTTTTCGGTGATTTTTTTTAATATTTAATATTGAATATCTTGAGAGTCGATTTTCTAATTAAATTTCCTATTAATAATTGGAGGATAAGAGGATTATGTTACAACTTTCTTAAAGATTGCGATAGATTTTATAAAACTTAATTTGCAATATCGAAGGACCGATAATAATAATGATCGTAAGTATTATATAAGATAATATAAAAGATATTAATTCCGAGATAATAAAAATCTAAATATCTCATTTTTGAACAGTGATAAAACCTGAAAATGGTTACTCTGTACTTTTCTTTCGAAGCCGGCAATGTATATATACAGATTAAAACAAGGTGACAGTTAAAGTTGAAACGTACACGGTAGGAAGGTACAAAATTCAACCAAGCCAAGGAAACGTATCCCGGTTCTTTCCAGCAACAAGACGTAATTATATGGCGCGTGGCGCGGACTTCTTTCGGCGCAAACGAAATTATTCGTTTCATTAAAGCGTCGCATAACGAAGCGAGACGCAAAAGAGACACGTACCTGCTCCTTGATGTCCTGCAATTGCTGCTGCAGTTTTTGTATGTCGCTGTGGGAAGTATCTCGGCTGCCGTTGTTCATTAGAAGAGCTTCCCCGACTACGTTGTTCGACGGTACCGGCTCTTCCTCGGGGTCCGCCTTCACATCGTCGGATATCGTCCCTGCGAGAGAACGTTACAGTCGGTTTAAAAGAAGGCACTCGGCCATTCTCTTCGCTTTCTCACGTTACAAATTAAACGTAGGATAGAAAACGGTCGTGATGCGCGACTAAATGTCAACTGTGAGGCCGATGCGATTAATTGATCGCGTTACATTTTATATAATTAATTATTATATAATAATACCGAAATTGATAGCTCGACCCGCGTAAAATCCAGCTGCCAACGATGATACAAAATACAAAATAACGATGAATAATGCAGGATAATACAAGAGATCGTGTAAACGTCGAGGTGGTGATTGCGCTGACGACCTGCTTGAGCTATCAATGAATCGCGAAGTGACGATTGTACCTGAAGCGTTGCATCCTTTCACGTAAGTAACATCGCCTCCACCGCCGCAGCACACCGACAGTGGAACCATATGCTGTATCTGGGCCCGACACTGCACGCATTTCTTCATCAGGGCCGCGCAGCTCTCGCAGGCGCACATGTGTCCACACGGACGGAACAACACGCCTGCCTTGCGATCGGAACACACCACGCATTCTTCGATCTGAGAACAAACGCTCGTTATTGCGCGAGGACGCGAACAGAATGCGTCTAGAGTTACCGGACCTATCGCGTGTGTCATCCTCTGGGAATGCGTTTCAGGAAACGCGATCAGTCTCCGTGTATGCGGAGAATCGCTCGTCCACGTGTCGCGACGGCACGGCATCAGATCGAGACGAGAAAGCTGCATTTTACTTATCTTGCATCGCGAGACAGAAATTATATAGGAATTGCCGTGTGAAAAATTCGTGGAATTAAAGTAAGGAACAAAACACGAGAAGGCGTATTATCTTCGACGCGCGAAGATAAAACAGATTCTCTCCTCGTGAGCGAGCACTTGACGTTACCGCCGAGATTATCGTGAAAAGTATCCGCAGGGACTCGGAAGCTCGCTGTTAAAACGCAAAGTATAGGTGTTAAACGGCTGCTGAAGGAGTAAGTTTTCAGGGCGACTATGATGTGTGTTCGCTCGCGTGTACAATGACACAATGGCGGAAGACAACGGTGTCAGTTTCATACCTTCACACGTGAAAGGACGTTTTCTCGGCAGATGAGGCATTTTTTCACTCTCGGAGCACATGCGTTGCAACAAGCCATGTGTCCGCAGGGGCCGAACAGCATCTCCCGTTTGCCGTCCGAGCACACGAGACACTCGTCGATTGCCGCTGACGGTACGGCGGCCTCGATGTCGTGTCTGAAAAAGGGTTTTGCATTCTACAAAGAGAAAGAGCGAAGGGACAAATATCTACGTGGAAAATATAGATTCGCGTAACACGGAATTCTTCGGCAAACGATAACCCCGTTGAATTTTATCAAAAAAGTTACATACAGAAATTGATATACACGAAATTACGTAACGCTGGCGATCAGATCGTTATGATAAGCGAGTCTTGAAGAAACGTGTTAAACAAGTATCTGACGATACTTGATACTTTGATAGAATCGGTCTGGCTTATGGAGATTAAAGAGCGAAGGGTCGAGAAGAGCACACACGGTTCTTATTCTCTCTCTCTCTCTCTTCCCCTCCTTAATCTCTCGGATACTAACGACTCCTTATCCTTGTGGCAGGTGGTGAGAGTCTTGCAGAGGTTCGGGTCCGGACAGAGATCCAAGGGCGTCTGACCCTTTTTATTCTTCAGCTCGAGATCGGCGCCGTGGGCCGCCAGGAAGCAGGCGATGAAGGAGCTGCTCTTCTTGTCCTGGCCTTGGGTGCCCAGGCCCATCAGCAACCGCCCGACATCCTGCACATCCTGCAGCTGCCGCAGCTGCGACAATGTATGGTGACGCAAGGCCTCGTGCAAAGGTGTGTCCCCATCCTTATCGGCGACATTCAGATTCGCGCCTTCGCGAACCAACAACTGTTGACCGAGCGAATCGCATCGTCGAGCGATTAGTAATCGTCGACTCTCGCGGTTAGAGAAGACAGTTCCACCCGCGAACAGTCTTCCCCTTGTTCTTACTTGTTCATGAAGACCAACGCACCCGAACGATCTGCGTATGCTGTCGCTCGACCGCGAGATGCAGCGCGGTCTGCAGGTTGACATTCTGCAAGTCCAGGTCGGCCTTCCCGGCACGTGCCAGCTGCTCGGCGACCTCCACGTGATTATTCAGCGCTGCCAGATGAAGGGCGGTGTAGCCGTCGTCCTTCTTCTCGTCGACGATCCAAGGCCGCGGCAATTTCGACAACAGCACCCGCATCGCGCTGAAACGTCAGGGAAAAGATTTATTGCGACTGCGTCTCGTCGCGGGGAACAATCGCATTTGCGCTCGCGCTCGCGCCCGCGAGAGAGTCCCAATTATCTCGCGACAAACCGCTCTTTTATTAATCTCCGTGTTCCTTTCGAAAATTACATGCTTGCACGTCCGCGAAATGTTGCGTGCAAAACAAAGGTAAAGAGAGGATAGACAACACGGGAAAAAGACGGACACGTGTCCTGTATCCTCGCGCGACGTATTTTACATCGCATTTTGTGTGCGACCGCTTTATTGTTGTGCGCCGCGTGTCTCACCGTTTTCCTCTATTTTTCTGCCGCTCCTCGCATTTTCATTTATTACTTTTGGCTAATTATACTTTGACGCGCCGTCCCGCTGTACATTTACATTCGTTACGCGGCACTTTATTCCCCGGGGTGCGAGGCGCGACATCCCCGCGCGCTTTTGTTCGGCTTTTACGCTGCGGAAAAGCGTGATCTCGCGCGTATCTCTCCGCCGGACGAGTGCCGCTTCCGTGTACCAGCAGCGTATTTCTGACTATATCTCCGCGGCAAGGACCCCATGGTGAGGCGGCGAGAGACGGGGACAGCTGTTCGTAGACGGGGCCTCCTCTCCGGAGGGGACCTCTTCGAGGCGGTAGCCCGCTGCTGAGGCATGACGGACACGCATGTGTTTCGTCACATGCGCCTGCATGTGTCTCGAGACGTCTCGCACGGCTTAGGAGGAGGCCCCGTCTCTCTCGTCTTCGTCCCTCCCCTCCCCCCCCCCACCCACCCACCGATCCCCGTTCAATTCTTCGCGAGAAGCGCCTCGCCGATTACGCCATGAGACCTTCGCGGAATCCGAATTATCATCAAGAGGGCACAAACCGACTCGACGCGACGATTTAGCACAGGCAAACGAGAAAAACGTGGAGAACGTAAGGAGATAACGCGCGAGGTACTGCGTACTCTCAATTGAGAGAGAGAGAGAGAGAGAGAGAGAGACGCAGTAAATCCAATTCAATCGGGAGGTTTGCTGAGAGCGCTGGGCTCGGCGAGAGTGATAATCTCCTTGTCCCGGAGGCGGGTAATAATCCGTAAAGAATCACTGTTTGCACAGCAAACGTAATGACGTATATGTGCGCAACGTCGCACGGGAGTAACGATGTTTGCGTTAAATTCGCGACCCCGTTAGGCGTCCCGAGCCTCGTTTCCGCGACGGCCGGGGGCCGGGGAGATCATCAAATTTTTACGACGCGTGAGCGGCGTCGTTTTTCATTAGAGCGGTCCAAGGAACACGCGTTTTGCATCCAAGCGTGCGGAGAAGCCGAGCCGGGGCCGCAGTCGCGGCGACGGCGACGGCGGCAGAAGCAGTGACTCGCCCAGGTCGAGTCTCCCCTTCCTCTTTCTCTTTCTCGTCATGAATATGCAAATGGTCGCGAATGTTACCGTTACCGTGTTAATAACTATAAATCGATTACTTCGCCAATTATGTCGGGGACTCGCGCTCGGCATCGACGCCGTGCGATTTTATTGCGTCATTAAGCGGCCCCGCAATTCCGCTCTCGTCCCACCGTCGTTCTCGTTTTTCCCCGTCCCCTTAACCCTTCCCACCGTTGGTTACTTACTTTCCGCAGCTTGCCGAAATAATTACCATCGAAACGTTCAGAATAATGTAATGATTAAAACCATTCCCCCTCCCCTCCCCTCTTTCTCTCTTTCTCCCCGAATCGTCGCGGCACACTGTCGAGAATAATTGAAAAAGGATAAATATTCTATTCCAAATAATACAGATATATCGCGCAGATTAATCGAAAACTGCAATTATGCATCGCAAGTGAGCTCGGTCATCTGAGTCCAATTAATACAAGAGAGAAACATATATTATGCAAGAGCGAGTACCCGTAGAAATTTCTTAGGATTTTCCCAGATACAGTTTAGATTCCAATTAGAATACCCAAATTTGTCCCAAAATAGGTTATCTCATCACGATACCAATTAGAAATCCCATTCTTGTCCCAAAAATGCGTTTTCTATCTAGAATCGGAACAGAAATAACGTATAAATTCCAACCTTTTTTTATTAATGCAATAGGGATAATACAAATGTCTTTTTTGTCTTAAATTGTTCCGTATTCGGACATAATATAATATTTTCGTTTTATACAATGTATAGAATATATTTTTATATTTGAAGATAATTTGATTAATTCGTACATGTGTAAATTAGATGAGTTTGTCGGATATTTATATATATTCTTTATTTCTTTTAGCTTGAAAGCCTTCTATTAATATTTTTTCATAATTATTTCTCTCGCAAACAATTTGAGTTATTTTAAAAACCGAATTGATATATATGCATATACGATATATAATATATATATATATATATGTATATTAATATATATATATATATGTATCATATTATTAATTCGGTTATGTATATGCATTATTGTTGTATATATAAGAGATAATTATTATATATTAATATTTACAATAAAAAATATATACGGTTTTAAATATTCATTTATTTTATAAAAACTTCTCACAAAATATTGCTTCAAGTATTTATGCTTTAAATATTTATATTTTACAAGTATATGTGTGTATGCATATATATGTAAAGTGTAAATATTTAAGATATTGTACATCTCATTCTTATCATAAAATGTAAAATGAAAACCAGAAACATTTTTGGGAAAACATTGGGAGTGACCGACCAGAATCTGTTGTTTGTGTTTCCCATTTAGAATCGCATTTTTAAAACATTGCACTTCTAACTAGAATCAGTATAGATTTCCCAGTTAGAACCCAAACATATTTTGGGAAATCGGGTTAGAACCCAAATAGATTCTAAAACATTTTCTATATGGACAATTAACACGGCGTATTCTATTCTAGTAGCGTCGGCGCATAATGTATCCTAAATGTAAAATATCGCGCGGCCGGAAGTATTTTCTCGAGCAAAGAGTGTCGAAAGACGATTCTCTCGGAGGGCGACGGATAACCCTTGCGAACACCCCTTTCACCCGTCCGCCGACTGCAAATGACACATGTCGGGGAGCGCGATGTCATTTTTAACGGCAAAACCATATAATTCCTCTCCTCGTCGTTCCGATCCGTCGCCGTAATTCGCGGTCCATCGGCCGAGGTAGCTCGCGCGGTAGGATTGCGCGCGAGCGCATCCGCGTGGGAACGAGACGCTCGTGACATTGATTTAACGCCGCCGATAATTATCGCAATTACAACGACAGTCGCATGGCGGTGTAACAAATAGAAATAAGCACGAGCGGGCGAGCGAACGACGCCGGTTATTACGGCCTGTCAGTCTCCGGTTTAATTTCATTTCGGCGTCGCGAGCTCAAAGTCGGAATTCGTCATAATCACGACCTGCATAAATACCCAGGCAGCACTCGGCAGGCGTATCGCGGCGCATGTTATTACTCCGATTAATTTCCCGCTCGTCGACAAGGACTTTTGCCCGTCGCCGACGTCTCCGTTCGTTTATTGGCATCAATGAACCGTCGTTAGACGCTCACGACGCTGCTACTCAATATCGTTACGTCGTCTGCCGCGTTATTATTATTATTATTATTATTATTATTATTACTATTGTTATTATTATTATACAGCAGCTGATCGATCATTATGCGATCTCGAATCATGATTTATTATCGGTATCTCATCGTCTCGCGACAAATCACGTCATTCGGCGCCTGGGAGATTGCAGAGATCGCACGTTCTCGTGTGCGGTACGTCGATTCGCAACGAGAGATTTCCTTCGCGGAACGAATACAATGAATGCATAAGAAATCGCGGGCTCTCTTGAAGTCGGAGATATTTTTCCCATCATTTGCCGGTTTCTCCTGGGTGGTTGGTTGGTTACTCGGTGGTTGGTCGCGGAATTTTTTCTCGAAAAATTTTCTCGCGAGTAATTCGCAAGTTCCTTTGCATTTTAACGAGAAAATTGATCAAACGCGATTCCCTGTATCCTTCCTCGCTGCGACTCCGAGCAAGTTCCGCGAACGGTCGCTCGGTTGACGTGAGCGAACGAGCAGCCGCGAATCGAGCTCGCTCCGCATCGCACGCGCGAATCGCGCACGCATATATCGGGCATTTAGTGAGTCAGCGACGGCCGTGGCATCATCGCGAAGAGTCCAACCGAGAACCCGATGCAACCGCACGGTCCAACACGCGTGCCTCTGTTCTTCCGATGCGCAGCGCGAGAGCGTTCGTCGCCTCCTGCACTTCGCGGCAGTGTGAGTCAGTGAGATCACGCGGCGACACGCTAAATATAATTGACACGAGCGTGTGCAACAACGACGAAAACGACGATGTCGTCGACGATGACGACGACGACGACAACGATGTGCGTCCGTACGACAAAGGGGACACCGAGAGCCGAAGAGGAGGAAGAGGAGGAGGAAGAGGAGGCTGTTGCTGCTACTTCTTCTTCTCGTCACCGTCGTTCTCGTCGTCGTCGTCGTCGTCGTCGTCGTCGTCGTCGTCGTCGTCGTCGCGGTCGAATCGTCGGCGATCGATACTCGTCGTGATCTTCATATCGATCGCGACGGAGGATCGGACGTTTCGTCTCGTCTCGTCGTGGGAGCGGACGCGTGCGAGATCGTTCCCGCGGAATCGCGTTCCGTTCGTTCCCGCTCGCGTCGACCCGCTAAATATAGCGAGCGCGGACTCGCGATTATTTCGGTGTTCGCCGCGGCGCGCAGCTGCGATTCGTCGCGAGTGTGATATCGAGAGGATTTCGAGGCCGAACAGAAAGAAAGAGAACGAGAGCGGGAGAGGGAGAGAAAGAGAGAGAGAGAGAGAGAGAGAGAATGAGAGGATGATCTCGAGCGAACGAGCCGGCGACGGCGGTGGCGGCGACCACGGTGAGTCGAGCCGCGGCGGAAATAATTCCGCCCAGTCTGTCATTGTCGAAACGGGAGATTGTTCGCGAGCGATTTCCAAGAGGAAAGGGAGGTTTAGGCGGAATTATCGATGAATTAATCGCCCACGAGAATGCGTATCATTGATCAAGCGGGCTCTAGCGATGCTTATCAAGGATCGGTAGGAGAATCGGGATGAGGGAATCGGAGCGCGACGTGACGTGAGAGAGATGCATGTAAAAATACGATGGGGGGAGGGGGAGATAGAACTGAAATCGCGATGCAAAGTGCACGTAGGTGTCCATACGCGACGCGAACGTCAGGGGTTCATAGACGTATAATTATATATACACACCTCGAATTGAATTTCACATCTCACATCGTCGCTGTGATCGTGCGCTGTTGCGAAATGTCGGAAGAAAAATCGAGATATCCTTCTGGATAAAAGTAACAAGAGAAGCGTGTCCTGTGCTATGCACGAGACCAACTACGCGACCATTACGCCACATATACTTCGAGACATCGCAGGCACACGCGGCGCACCTCTCTTCGCTAATTGCACCTCACGACCTCGCGGCGAGATTAACGAGTCCCTCGCGAAAACGCGTTCATTCCGGAGCCCGAGAAAAATCGGAAGCTGCGATCTTTCTCTCCGTAGGCGGCGGCGCCGAGTCTCCTCAAGGCATTCACTGACGGATTACTGAGAAACCACGAAGGCCACCGCAGTCCCTAAAACATTTATCCGCCGCAACCTCGCGGAATTCCGGCGGAATTCCATTTATCTTCCCTTTCGTTTGCCCGCCGGCGCGGTCTGCTCCCAAGTATTCGGATTTCCTATCAGTCATTCGCGCCATCCGATTCGATCAAACTCCGTGCAATAAATAAAGCTCCAATTTTCGCGCCGCGCCTTCCCGCCCGTCAATCGCGCGCGTGGGCGCGCGAGATAAATTAGCTTTTAATATTCGGTGACAGAAAATCCTTTTCTCTTGTTTGCTAAAAAAGTATAAATAAATAAAATTTTTCGCTGTGTGTGTGATCTCTTTTACTAGTTTTCTCCGCAAACTGCAAAGTCAGTACATTACGGCATACTCTTATTGCTCGTGTTCGGTGCATTAAATGTGTTAGACACGCACACGTGATTTGATGAAATTTTGGTATTTGCGCTAGATTAATTACCAACTTCACTTATATAATATCACGCAAATTTTGTGCGAACTGCCATCAAATTCGCCTCCGCATTCGACGGAGACCATCGTCACGCAATCATACAAATTTTCAGGGACATCGTGTATTGGTTTTCTATCTCTCTTGTCTTCTCTCTCTCTCTCTCTCTCTCTCTCTCTCTCTCTCTCTCTCTCTCTCTCTTTCTCTCTCTGTATTTAAATTCAACGAAATCGGTCGATTCGGCGAACCAGGAAGGAACGCACGGCCGGTTCGAATCGACGATGTCCGTTCGTGGGTGACGAGCGGGCGCCGTAGGGGGAGGAAGAGGATGGATGCGCTCTAATATGCAGAAACCATGAAGAACGCCGGCCACTACCATGACGCAATTTCCGGGTGTCTCTATCGGAGTTGGCGCACCCAGGAAAACGACCGGTGCCCCCCTGGTAGCTATTGACTGTTCTCTCTCTCTCTCTCTCTCTCTCTCTCTCTCTCTCTCTCTCTCTCTCTCTCTCTCTCTCTCTCTCTATTTCTCTCTCTCTCTCTCTCTCTCTCTCTCTCTCTCTCTCTCTCTCTCTCTCTCTCTCTCTCTCTCTCTTTCTCTCGATCCGTTTCGTTTTCCTCCACTCGTTCTATTTTGCTTCCTTCATTTTTTCGTTCATTTTTCTTTCTTTTTTTTTTATACGGCGAGATTAGACCCGCAGAAAAGTTTCGGGAGAAAAATCGAAATCCCGCGCGCGAGGAGACGCGAGAACCTTCCTTTCCTCATCGCCGTCGTCCTGCCGCGCAACTTCATCGGCGAAGTGTCCGACGAAAATTGGAATTTGCCGTGAGTACCGAATACCGGAAGTTAGATCCGGATTAAGCGAAGAACTTCTCAAAGTGTCCTTCTAATTTCGCTTCTCCTTTCCGAAGGGCTTCGCCTCTTTTGCCCGGGCTCTCGCGTCGCCGAGGTTGCACCGTGACGTTATTTTTCCGGTGAGAGCATCTACGACTTTTTGAACGAAATGTCTCGAAATACGTGTTCCCGTAAATACGCGAGAAACGAGAAACGAGAGAAAATATCTGTCTGAGAAAGAGAAAGTAGAGAGCGAGAAAGAGAGAAAGAGAGGGAGAAAAAGAAAGGGAGGAAGGGGAGAAGACAGGAAAGGAGGAGCCGGCAGCTAGAGCCGGGAATTTACGCGTCCTATTTGCGTGTTTATCCACACGACTTATCCCTTAAATGTGAGTCGCAGATATGCAACAGTTTATAATTTCGCTCGCATCTTTCGCGTCCCCGGCGTCGCTACACTTACCGTGAAAAATGTATAATTTTGTGCATTTGCAATAAACGAATTCCCGAGTAAACGGCAGCGCATCAGAAATTGCTCTCGACGTTTCTTCTCGACGTTTTTTATCACGTCGACTGAAAATTATATCCTATTAAAAAATATTGCTCATACGTATATCTTGAATCAAACCTCGGCTCGTAACCAGATGGCGGCTCCGTCAAGAACGAATCCTGCACCGAACTCAACGCTAGACCGGAGAATACGTTAAAATATCAATCATACAAATATTATTCTTCAATTTCGAATTCAATAAAACTCGCGAGATTTTTTCTCTCCTTATATTTATGTATCCGGAAAAGCTTATTCTGAAAGGGTTAAGGGTCAACGGGAAATCTCGTAGCCGTCGCCGAGACGAAAATTGAAATTCCCGGAGGGTAGTATCTCCGAAAGGATTAGTCGGCAACGAAACTAGAGGATTGGGACAGACGGAAGGATAGGGGTTTTGGAACACTAAGAGAGAGAGAGGAAGAGAGAGAGAGAGAGAGAGAGAGAGAGAGAGGGAGGAAGAGGGAAAGAGAGAAGGAGAGAAGCAGGTAGGTAATCGAACCGAAACTAAATCACAACTATCAACTAATTCTATCCGCGGAGTTTCGACGTCGCGGAGGTGGAACGACGTCCCAATTCGACGGCAGGATGGACGGCATCGCAAAGATATCAAGCGGAATCGGGGAAACGCGAAAAAAGACGTCGGGAAGAGCGGGATAACGGAGATCATAATTCAACATAACAGTGACAACATTAACGTCGAAAATTGCTCATCTCTTTCGCTTCTGCGTTTATATAAAACGCAGAGCAACGATCGCACGTACAAAGCTTGAGAGGTAAAACAAGGAAAAGGAATTACGGGATGGAAGAAAAGTGGCACCGGTGGAAAAGTAAAGGGAGTAGAAGGAGGAAAGTAAGAAAGAAAGAAATACGGAAAGTAAGGAGGGAAGGAGGAAAGGGAGAAAGGAAGAAAGAAAGGAGGAAAATTCTTCGATCGCTCGACGACGAAGTCGCGTAATTTATGCGTTCAATACCCAACCGAGAGAAAGAGAAAGAAGAGTAGGAGAGAGAGAGAGAGAGAGAAGTCGAGCGCGGCTGCGAAAACGCCAGCGCGGTCTTTCAGAAAAAAATATATTAATTCTGAGCTCCCTTAAAAGTTATTGCAAAAGGCGTAAGGAGAAAGGAGAACGGCGGCGACGGCGGCGCGGGCGGCAGGGTAGGTCGGCGGCAGGCGGAACTTTTCCGCGGCGATGGAAATGACTTCGGCATAAAATATGACGCGATGGCACAGCCAGACGAGTCGCAGGTGCGCCACCATGGGGTAGGTCATCCGTGATCGCTGCATTCGTCGGCTATTTTAATTCGGGCGAAGGGAGAAGAGGCAACGCGGCGCGGCAAGTTCGTTCTGCACTCACGGCGCAGGATCGCAGGATTTAGGGAGCGTCCTTTCTCTCCCCTTTCTCTCTCTTTTTCTCTCGGCCCGTAGCTATCAAAATATTGAAGATTAAATTTACTACAATATAAATTTCACGCCGCGAAACATCGCGTTTTATGAGAGGACGTGAAGAAAGGCGCTCGTTCGCTCTCGCCCGTCCACACGCAACCGAAGGTTTAACTGTGCGTCGAAAAAACCTGATAAAACTATCGGATCGGATACTCATGACACACATGCTCTTGGCAGTGTTGTATATATTTTATTGAATATATATAATACACGAAGATCGAATGTGATCGGGACTAAAAATTCGGGAAAAAAAATATATTTCATAGAGATATTTAGAACTGAAATCTCGAGATATTTAGCTCGTATTTAGTAGTAATTATTTATTTATTTAGTAGTAACATTGCTCTTTAATGTATTACTCCAACATTTTTTTCCAAGACATTTCGATGATTGCTCGTATTTTTCAAACACCTGCAACGGCCTTCTCTCCAAATTCGTCTGCACCTCTATCGTGATTGCATCGTATACGATACGCTATATCGATTATGGCAACTATTACGGTTACTACCACCATCACCATCATCACCAGCATCACCACCACCCCATCCACCCTTCTGTCCAGGGTTCGTACATTGTGGTTATTAACGAGAACGTTGTTTACCCTACCGCGAATATTATTAGTACTATCGTTATTAGCGTCGGTCGTTACGTAGCATAAATTAATACGTTACCGCCATTATCTTTATTTGCTTCATAATCACGTTTGAAATTAATCTTTACACGAATCTCGTATTTCGTATCAAAAATACATGCAACTACGCTCTATGATTGCGCAAAATAAGCGGTAACGCTTACATCACTTTTCTCTGCTCTCACAAAATTGTAAAATTTTTCGCAGTCGCAAAGAGAGTGCTTCGAAAAAGCGGCAAAAGAGCTAGACATTTCCATTAGCTGCAGCCACATTTAAATGGTGTTTCCGGTCGGATAAACGCCAATTGGCAACGGGTAAATCTCTTTAACCGCAATTTCAAAAATAAATCCAGCTGTAAAAACGTTCATAAGAGAGATGGCCGATTTACGTTAAAATTGTCGAAACGATTTCGTCTTGAATTCAACGCACGCTTTGACAGCCGATAGCCAGCGGCTGTTTCTCTCCCAGCAGAAAAATATGTATTTTTGCCTTTTGCCCGAAATGAGAGCGAAAAGTTTTCGATCGAAAGTGAGAGAGAGAGAGAGAGAGAGAGAGAGAGAGAGAGAGAATAAGAGAAAGAAAAAAGGAATGAAAATGATTCCGGCGCGAAGCACGACGGACGGTGACGTCAGCGACGTCGCGTTTTTCTTGAATGAGTTCCGTCTCGTTTATTTTGCTTATTCGATTCCTCCGACGAAAACACGTCTATCTGTCTTTAGCCAACCGGCCGTAGGTGCGGAGGAAGAGATATTTTCGCTTTGAAGCATATCCCGTCTGCTGGATGCTGTTTACGTCTCACTCTCTCACGTCTGTCCTCCCGCAAGTTTGCGAAGATCCATCGAAAGATATGTCCCGACTCGATCAGACGATTACGAACGAGCCTGTCGTCGTTCCAAACGTGACAGTTTCATCGTTTTGTTTTCCACCGAAACGGCAAAACGGACGTTTACGTGGTCTCGCTCGCAGCGTGAAGCAATCAGCCACTTTGATAATTAGAATAGTTAATAATTGTGAATTACTTCGCTTTGTCGTCATTGTTACTGAGACGATTCGACGGTCGATGATTTCTTCTCGCCGCGCATCTCCCGCAAGCAGAACAGAATTTTCCGGACGATCTCGCCGCCACTAGAGACTTACGTCATTGAGCAGTTATACGACCTGGGAGAGCATCCAAGTCTTCGTCCTGTCCCCTATCGTTTCGCAATAATTCTCCCGCGCGCGGCACACGATGTGGCAGAATCGCGCGGCCCGCATTCTTCCCGCAAATTTATAACGTCTTCTCCTCCGCGGCTACGAGCGCGCGATCTCGCGCGCTGATGCGGCAGGGACTATTTTGACGATGCGGTATGCATAACTGTAGGAAATCGACTCGTTATAGAGTTCCGTTTAGTCGTTTGAACGTGATTAACAAGTAATTTTTCTCATTTTGCGGCCGTCCCTTTAGCGGCGAGGTATTAAAACTAGGATCTGGCCGCGAGCGAGGCGAAGAGAAAATGCGCGCGATAGCGCGAATAGACACAGCGAAGTTCCCGAGCGATATCGGGATTAACGCGCCCTTAATTAATACGCCCATTAACGCTCGCATCGTCGCCTTAAATTCGTAGTTCGCGGAAGTTTTACTGCATCGTTAAATCGCCGCCTCGGATGCTCGTGCCAAGTTTCAAAGCGATGTCTCCATCCTGCCGACGGAAGACCGAGGGAATGGATGAGAGGATGCGATCGAGCTCTTAATGGCCGTAATAATCCGGTGTTTTGAATCGGTCTTGTCATTAGTTCGAACGACTCTTCCGATTTCTCGCGCTTTGGCGAAGCTTCAGAGCTACGTAGAAAAGGGAGTGATAAACGAAAAAGGAAACAAGGCGGAGAGCCTTGTCGCGAACTTTATCGCGGATGTCGATAAATTTCGGCGCATTTTAATCGCAGTCGCTTAGCGAATTATTCACCGGCCGTGGAGCTTTCCGCGCATTCGCGTTAAATTGCACAGTGTGTGTGTGTGTCCGATTTTATTTACGATATTTTATTATGATGCTTCATATTACGCTTTAGCCGGTAATTGAAGTCGGACGCCGTGTCTCTCTCCGGTAAACATTCTCGAATCCGCGCGCGCTGGTACGAACGATCATCGGGCGAAACCTGGCGCACCCTCCTCCAGAAAGGGAAAACGCGAGAACATCGCGTAAAAGCGTTTATTTTTATCTGACGATATCGAATTTTGCAGCGCGATGGACACTCGAGAGTTTATCCGTGCAAGCGCGTGTTTTTTGCTCGTGTACGTGCAACTTTGCGCTGGCCGCGCGTCGCGAATGCGTGAATGCGTTATTTCGTCGAGTCGATCAATTCGTCGCCCATTAACTCTTTCGTTTTCGGCTCGGAAGTCGTGTCGCTGTCGCGAATTAAAAAATCACACTCCCGAGAGATTACTCCCGTATAATGTACTTTTAAAATGGATTGGCAAGATTATTTTACCTTCGCAAGAAGTAACGACGGACGCGAAGTTTTTCGTGCAGCCTCCTGTGAAAGATAAAGAATTAAGAGCACGATGCATTTTACGAGGACGAACGAGGCGGTGTTGTTACGTTACGCAAAAGTTGCCGAAATATTTTTCTCTC